CAACATCCGAACAGAGGGAGCTTAGCTTCCTCCCCTACCTCAAACCGTCCTTTGGAAAGGGGTGGGGAAATACTGCTTAAATGTAATGACGCATTTTATGAAAACAATTTTAGGAATCGAGGAAAGAGGGGGATTAGAATTGTAAAGAAAGACCCTGACACTGAAGATAATAGAAGATAATACGCTGAGAGGATTAAAATTAGTAGGGGAGGATTAAAAATAGTAAGAGAGGATTAAAAACAGTAGGGAGGATTAAAAATAGTAGGGAGGATTAAAAATAGTAGGGAGGATTAAAAAAAGTAGGGGATATTAAAAATAGTAGGAGAGGATTAAAAATAGTAGGGGAGGATTAAAATACTGGGCGAGGGTTGAAATCACTGAGGATTAAAAAACAGGGCTAAAATTCAAAAACTTGGGTTAAAAAATGCTGTAAGAGAGGATTACAAATACTGGGAAACTGATTGAAAACTAGGGGAGGATTACAAATAATTTTGAAAAGGGTTGAAAACACAAACACGAGAAGGAAGACATTAGGAAAGGATCAAAATCACTGAGAGGATTGAAAACAATGGATATGGGTGGAAGCCAGAGGATTAGAAACATGTCACTAGAATAGGATTGAAAAAAATGTAAAAGGATTGAACACATTGGAAAGGACTGATAAAGATAAAACAAACCGAAAATGGAATTAAGAAGCTTGAATAGGAATAAAAAACTGAAATAGGATTGAAGAAACTGGAATAGGAATAAAAAACTGAAATAGGATTGAAGAAACTGGAATAGGAATAAAAAACTGAAATAGGCTTGAAGAAACTGGAATAGGAATATAAAACTGAAATTGGATTGAAGAAACTGGAATAGGAATCTAAAACTGAAATAGTATTGAAGAAACTGGAATAGGAATAAAAAACTGAAATAGGATTGAAGAAACTGGAATAGGAATCTAAACTGAAATAGTATTGAAGAAACTGGAATAAGAATAAAAAACTGAAATAGGATTGAAGAAGCTTGAATTGGAATAAAAAACTGAAATAGGATTGAAGAAACTGGAATAGGAATAAAAAACTGAAATAGGATTGAAGAAACTGGAACAGGAATAAAAAACTGAAATATGATTTAAGAAACTGGAAAAGGAATAAAAAACTGAAATAGGATTGAAGAAACTGGAATAGGAATAAAAAACTGAAATAGGAATGAAGAAACTGGAATAGGAATAAAAAACTGAAATAGGATTGAAGAAACTAGAATAGGAATAAAAAACTTAAATAGGATTGAAGAAACTGGAATAGGAATATAAAACTGAAATAGGATTGAAGAAACTGGAATAGGATTGAAGAAAATGGAAAAGGATTGAAGAAACTGGAATAGGATTGAAGAAACTGGAAAAGGATTGAAGAAACTGGAATAGGATTGAAGAAACTGGAAAAGGATTGAAGAAACTGTAATAGGATTTTGACGAAACTGTAATAGGATTTTGAAGAAACTGGAAAAGGATTGAAGAAACTGTAATAGGATTTTAAAGAAACTGGAAAAGGATTGAAGAAACTGGAATAGGATTTTGAAGAAACTGGAAAAGGATTGAAGAAACTGGAAAAGGATTGAAGAAACTGGAA